CAAGTATTAAATAGTGGCCTGATGGCCGAGTGATTAGCTATCTGGCGCTCGATGCCATAGGTTTCGGATTCGAGTCCCTCCGGTGCCGTGGCACCCTATAGTAGTTTTGAATTCACTTTAAATCGTAGGTCCCGGTCTAATATGACCGTAAGAGCATTGGACGTAGGGTTGACAACCCTACCTCGTAAAACGAAAAAAATCTCTTGTCTCGAAATCGGCCGATAGGCAAGCGGCCTGATCTACTATGGGGATGTTGCGCTAATGAAGAAGTATTTAATAAAATATACTAGAAGTGCCATAAGAACATGCTGGATAGTTTCCCTAAAAGACCCTCCAGAAGGCACCGCCCTCCTTCTTCAGTGTCGCGGAGCCAAGTCAGACTTCTATTATTATAAATATTTGAAAGAAACTATAAATCGTATTAAAATCTACCATATTTACAATTAAACTTCTTTTTGTGTACATACTATTTCTATTTCGTTTTGTACATATCATCTTTATTTTGTAACATGTTTTTCTTTTCCTTTGAAGCCTGAAAATGTGTTATACTCTTTATATATACTCTACAATTTTCATTTGGTTGAATGTGAAATAAACTTTTCTTCTAAAATGATGTTAATATTTTATTGTTACTTTAGGAAAAATAACAGTATCACAGTATAACAGTAACTAATATCATATCATAAAAATATGTATCAAATGAGTTTATGCAAGATTATATTTTTTCAACAGTAGTTGAAAGTATTTTTTTAATTAAAAAAAAAAGGTGGTCTACAATTTATATGTATAAATGTTTTATTAATGTTATGTTACTTAAAATATTATAAACACGCGAAATGAAGATATGTGTTATCAATGTTATATTTTCCAACATATTTATTTTTATGTATATACAGTAGAACCTCCACAACTCGAAAATTTTTTTTGTTCCCTTCCCTTCAAGCCCCAAAATCTCTATTACTCTAAATTTCAACCCTCTATATGTCGAAATAATTAGTCAATCCCAACAAGCCATTTTGTATATCCCCACAAGCCATTTTCCCTCCGTAACTCGAAAAAAAAATTGAACCTCTGTATCTCAAACATTAGCAATGCTTGATTTTACAACCTTTACAACTCGATCATTTGAAACTAATTACCTTTATAGGTCGAAGAAAAATAAGTTACCGACTTTAAGGATTTGCCGACAATGCACGTCATTGTTTCTTAGAAAACAATGTATGAGTATATAGTAAATAGAATAACCAACTCTATAAAATAGCAACTCGGAAGAAAAAGAATTTTCTGCTCTTTATAGCTTAGATAATGCTATAGATAGAGAACGATCGATTTGTCTAAAGCAGAAAAATAAATAAAGAAATAAAAATAATAATAATAATAACTGACTTTTTTAATACACAATATTTTTAATTTTAAGATTGTTTCGGAATTATTTTGATGTTTTATTGTAGTGCATAATATAACTTTTAAGTTGCAAATAAACATGTTTATTACCTCTGTAATTTGAATTTTTATTTATTTTACCTCTCTAACTCAAAATAAATTAGAAAGAATCTAGACTTCTACACGTCGAATAATTCCTTACAGCATCCACGTAAGTCGAAATCCTCCATAAGTCGAAAACTCTATAACTCGAATTCGTTGGCGTCTCCCTTGAAGTTCGACTTAGAGAGGTTCTACTGTATATATGTATGTATATATAACACTTTAATTTTAAATCCTTTTATTAAGCATTTTGATACACAATTCAAATATTTAAATTGAGATCAACACTCAAAAAAAGGAAAACTGCAACATATTATTTTATTAAATTTATAAATGTAAAACTGAATACATTTTCGCATAATCATCATCACTGAATACATTACAGCAAAGCATGAGTCAGACATTTTTGTTATGATGCGTTGTATTTGAATACTGAAATATAATTTGCGAAATGTATCTTCTGCATGTTTCTACCTCTCTAGTTTTCGTTGAAAATTTTTTGTCTTGGTCAGTTTCAAAGAAGAATACAAGGCAGATTTATTTACTGCCTAAACAAGGAATTCTAAAATAATTCCGTATACGGGCAACGGGCATACAGATTACAGAATTTCTAAGTGACATAAGTACCACTAACCTTCCATATCTTAAATTAATTAGAAAATTTGCATAAAATGCAATTGCAACATATTAATTATGTAATTAAAATAAATCTTCTGCATCAAAAAAAAATCACAAAATACATTTTCTGCACGTTCCTACCTCATGTCTAGTCTGGCTGACAATTTTTTGTTTTGGTCAGTCTCATGGACGAAAATAAGACAGATTTATTTTTAAAAAAAGGTAGTAAAATAAAAATTAAATTGTAGAAAAACATCTCCCACAATGAGACAATTAAAGCAAGGAGATTGGAAAAAAGCAAAAGCTGTCGGTACAATTAGATGTCCGTTGCTCGAAGCCCAAAAAAAGAAGAGATTAAAATTGAAATGAAAGAAAACTTTGGTGGACAGATAGTCAGATATAAGTGCACATCGTAGCATTCGACATAAAAGTTAAAGCCAAAGAAAATAGCTCTGATCCGCATGAGTTGATTTGAGGCTTGATTTTAATTATTTATTTCTTTTTTTGGGGCATCGTCAACGGACTCCTAATTGTACCGATAGCTTTTGCTATTTCGATCTCCTGCTTTAATTGTTCTCAAGCAGATGTTTTTCTTAAATTCTTTGTTTTTCTTTTATATTTTTACTCTTTAATTTAAGCAACTTCAATGGTGTAGATTTTCTAACTAACTTTCAGATGTGGAGGTTTTCGTGGTTCTTCGGTTCCCGTTGCCCTTGATTTGAGGGAATTTGGGAATCGATCCAAAGATCGTCCGGCTGCAGGGATAAAATTACTCCGTTGGATGATGGTAAATTCCTCGCACTTTTACATTGAAATACAGAAATTTAATTTTAAAAATGCATCTTCTGCATGTTCCTACCTCATCTGGCTGACAATTTTTTGTTTTGGTCAGTCTGAAGGACGAAAACAAGACAGATTTATTTATTACCTAAAAGGGAATAATAAAAGAAATCGGCATGGGAAGCCATATTATCACAGGGAGGGGGGTATAACCTTGACCACTGTTCTTATCCTTTGGTCAGTTTCTGCCTCCCTCAAGGGCGAAGTTTCATCCATCCCCAAGGACGACCCCTCAGTCCCAAGGCCGAAAGCAAGGGAGTGTGTGTAAGCAACACATAGCCTGCTCTTATTTTCAAAAAAAAAAAAAAAAAAAAGGAGGGAGGAAAGTACCAAACAGCAGCCTTGACCATGATTTCCAGCCTCCCCACTTCCCCAACTAAAGGCTTTCTGACCTAAAAATAGACTACTGAAATTGCAAACTCGGATGAGGATCCTAAAAATCACCAAGTTTTATCAAAGGGTGGAAGAAAAGCTAAAGGAGGGATGAAGGAAAGGGACACCTGGGCCAAAAGGCTTTTATGCAGGAATTCGAAGTGTGAAGAAGTAGGGGCTATCGAAAAATTGCAGCAGAAGACTCGAAATTCTGTGGTATGGAAAGGAGACAGTGATAGAAACAGTTTATTTATCACAGGAAACGGCGGAGTCGTTCTTTGCAACAGACATCATGTACTTGAAATTTTTTATTTTATTTATTTATTTATTTTGTCATCTGAAGTTTCAGCTGGAATTTCTTTTGGTTACTATGAGAATAGCTTCGTACTTGATCATCGTGGATTCTCTGCGTATCTCATTGTCACACTATTGGTCCTACTGTGATACTCTCTCTCCATATACTAGTATGTCTTGGGTTTCTTGATAAAATGATACGAAAGCAGACTTTTTTTTATTTTTCGGTTTAATGCTAGTAAAGTAATGCATCATGACGGTAAACTAAGAGTAAATTCAGAGTAAACTAAGCTGTGGGTAGCTTGTTACACATCCTTTGTTTGTATTAGTTCCTTATTTATTACCTCTCTCTTTATATATATATATATACACAGTACAATAACTAAAGTACATACGAGGAATGATTTTGAAACACAACCATTTCCCATGCGAAAAGCTACAATCATTATTCGTTAACCAAAACTATCACATCATGAATCATCAGCTAACAAAACCATCAAATTCGCATAACAAAATTTCTCAGGTGCTTCACATTCAAAAAAATTTTTTAAGATTGGAAATGCGCATTAACTGAAATAAGGAAACTGAAAGACATTTAATAAACATGGAAATAATAATGTTGAACTGCAATGGTGGATCAAAAAATAAATAAAAACAACACAAAATTTACAATGGCAGTATGTAAAAATATGTCGACAACGAAATCTCTGAAACCCGATATAACTTGGTGAACCCAAAGGAAATCAATTATAACATGCTGAGGATAGATCTGTCAAGGAATACGCACCTCCAAGATTTCATAGACCATCTTACTAATTCTGCTTAAAGACATATCTAGCGATGTAATACGAGAACATGGAGGATAGATACATTCAAGAGACATGTCCTACTTTTTCAACAAATAGACAACAAAGTAATAACATTTATTTTTAGGGATAACTGCCCCATATTTGCATGTGATATACAGTAGAACCTCTCTAAGTCGAACTTCAAGGGAGAGGCCGAATAATTCGAGTTATAAAGTTTTCGACTTATGGAGGATTTCGACTTACGCGGATTTTGTAAGGAAATATTCGACTTGTTGAAGTTCAGATTCTTTCTAACTTTGAGAGAGGTAAAATAAATAAAAATTCAAATTACGGAGGTAATAAACATGTTTATTTGCAACTTACAAATTATACTATGCACTACAATAAATGATCAAAATAATTCCAAAACAACCTTAAAATTAAAAATATTATGTATTAAAAAAGGCAGTTATTTTTTAGTTTAGACAATTCGATTGTTCTCTATCTATAGCATTATCTAAGCTATAAAGAGCAGAAAATTCTTTTTCTTCCGAGTTGCTATTTTATAAAATTGGTTATTCTATTTACTATATACTCATAGCCAACGGCCGTACCATGCTGAATATACCGGTTCTCGTTAGATCACCGAAGTTAAGCATCATTGACCACCTGGGAACACTGCGTGCGGTCAGTACTTGGGTGGGTGACCACCTGGGAACACTGCGTGCGGTCAGTACTTGGGTGGGTGACCACCTGGGAACACTGCGTGCGGTCAGTACTTGGGTGGGTGACCACCTGGGAACACTGCGTGCGGTCAGTACTTGGGTGGGTGACCCCTGGGAACACTGCGTGCGGTCAGTACTTGGGTGGGTGACCCCCTGGGAACACTGCGTGCGGTCAGTACTTGGGTGGGTGACCACCTGGGAACACTGCGTGCCGTTGGCAAATTTGGGACCTGAATGGCAGAGTGTCTAGCGCTCTGGCGCGCTCGGTGCCACAGGTTTTCGGGTTCGAATCCCGGCGGTGCCATGGATGTTTGTAGTGGTTCGGAATCCACTTTAAGCCGTAGGTCCCGGTCTTCTTTGACTGTAAGAGCGTCACGGAGCAAAAGTCAGGCTTCTACCTACGGGTGCTCCATCACAACAGAAGCTGCTTCCTGCCCCTTCAATCATGAGTCCATGAGTTGTGGGCTTGGCCAGCCAAGTGGGATAAGAAACAACAACAACAACTATATACTCATACATTGTTTTCTAGGAAACAATGACATGCATTGTCGGCAAATCCTTAAAGTCGGTAACTTATTTTTCTTCGAGCTATAGAGGTAATTAGTTTCAAATGATCCAGTTGTAAAGGTTGTAAAATCAAACATTGCTGATGTTCGAGATACAGAGGTCCAATTTATTTTTTGAGTTATGGTGGGAATATTTTAACCAAAATGGCTTGTGAGGATTTACTAATTATTCCGACTTATAGACGGTTGAAATTTCGAGTAATGGAGGTCTTGGGGCTTGAAGGGAGAGGAACAAACAATTTTTTTGGAGTTGTGGAGGTTTTCGACTTATCGAGGTTCGACTTAAAAAGGTTCTACTGTAGTAGAAAACACGTAAAACTCATTCCTCCAATGCAAGACACCACTTTCACAACTATCCCTCATTTGGGGATAGAATGGGAAAAAACCTGGAAAACTCCCACCAGGTAGTCTGATTAACAAGGCAAGATGCTAAACATCGCAAACGCCTTCGGGGATCCTCGTTTTTTGAAACAGTGTCTACAACAACGGCACTATCTTATTGAACCGCCTCCCTAATGCTCACCATCAGTACATGTTATCACTGAGACATGAATTGGGCATAATTCACGTATAAAATAAATTAAATATTATTTATTAATGTGTTATAAAAATATTATATATATATATATATAATAGTTTTGTAATATATTAATATATATATATATATTTAATATTCGTTTCTTTTCTTTCTCTCTCACTTCTTTCTTTTTTTTTTTAAATCGTGGAAATGCTTTCAAGTTTTTCATGAATACTTTGCAAAATTTGTACAGAAATAATTATAATTTGATATTACCCACATGAATGTTAGAAATACATTTTTTTAAACAAATTTTTTCGAAAAAAATATTTGTCTGTTGCTTATCAATTTTCCTTTGTATTATATATTTCCTCTACTAAAATTTTATGACTCATTTTGATTTATACTTCTCCTTTTACAGGTTACTTGCAATAAAAAGTGGTATAAGATTTTATTCTGAAAAATTTGAATAAATAAATAAGAAATATAATTTTGTTGATTTCAAAACAGCTGAATGAATACAAAAAAACACCTGAAAGTTTTTTTTTTTACGACACTTTATAGTGGTTTTGGAAAATCAAAATAAATCTCTTATGGAGCACTTTTCCCAGAAGATCAGGGGCCTGAATGACCGAGTGGCTAGCGCTCTGGTGCTCGGTCCCACAGGTTTCGGGTTCGAGTCCCGACGGTGCCATGGGTGTTTGTAGCGGTTCGGAATCCACTTTAAACCGTCTGTTTAGCCCAAATTGTGCATAAGATGACCGTAGAGCGACAAACAAACAAACCAAACCCAAAAGATACTCAATTTATAAAAATTCAAACGTAAGTATTTTGTTTATTAACAACCAAAACACAGCTTTTGCAGAATAATGAATATTAATAATTTTTTCCGTATATTAAAGTTAAATCTACTTGGATATTAAAAACAAGTTTGTTAATTCGGAAAATAATTTTAGAATGCCAGTTGTGCGCCAAGTATGTAGACTCTGTTTTTGTCGTTACTGTTTTTAGAAACATGGAGATTCGATGGCATTTGTAACAAAGTGTATAAACGACTCGTATGGACAGATAGGTTACATGGAGAAATATTTTTGCATCTTTCTCCCATATATGAAGCAAATATATTCAAAGCCAAACTTTGTACTCTTATAGATGATCAATAAATTTAAAAAAAAATTCTAGTTACTAATAATTTTGGTATAGATTATCGAGACCATGTTTTAAGGTATTAAATAACAAAAATAAAATAGTATCAATACCTATATTTTATACAGATCAGTACATTACTAACGAAAGTTCAAAGTTTGTAATAAATTTGAAAAAAAAATGAATAAGATTTTTTTTTATAATAATTAATTGTTTATTTTTTTATCATTTCAAAAATGAATGTATTTGTTCCCACATTTTGTATTTTCAAAAAAAAGTAATTTTTCTTTATCCTTCGTGAAGATTTGAATTTTTTCGAATTTGAAAAATTGAATATTTTTTATGAAAAGAATAGCATCGATTTTTAACAGATTTTTTTTTGAAATAACAATATAATTATTCAAATGAAAAATAAAAATGTATATTAATGTTGGAATTCTTATGCTTTAGTTCGCACCACGCAGCGTCACGTGGTAGTTTTATAAAAATCGTTTGGAACCGATTCAGAATCGCGCTGTTGCCGTGGAGATGGGCTGTTGGTTGCTGTGGAAACGGGCTGTTGCCGTGGAGACCAGCTGTTGCTGTGGAAGTGAGTTGTTTTATTCTAAAAAGAACATTCTTCTTCCAGTTTAGCATTTGCCTTTGAGATATTACCATCAACCCTGTATATCTTTGTAAATATTGTTTGTAAATAAATGAAGATGTTTGAATGGATTGATCAATACTTCTCGAACCATCAGAAAGCTGCGACTAACAAGAAAAATTGAACCACCGAATGAAAGTAACACGATAGTCGTAGTGACAATTAATAAATACATCCTTTATTGAATTAGATTTATTTCAGTAATGGATGCATTTACTAATATAATTTGTATTTTTTTAAAGACTATCAGTTTCTCTTTATTCTTCGTATATTAATATTTTATACTTCTTATAATTATATTTATCGAATTTTTAGGAATTCTTAGCATTGAATGTTTTTAATGGAAATATTGTATATTAGTTTTAATAAATGTCTTATAAGAATATGTTTCTTAAATTATTTAATAGAAAGAAATATTAAATTTTTCTCCGAATTTTGTTTTGGCATACTATTTTTACATTAAATATGTTGTTTAATGGAAATACGAATTATTTTAAATTTAGTAAGAAATAAAAGATTAATTTAAAATTTAAACGAATCAAATGATATATGAATTTCGATCCAGTCAAAAAAAAAAAAAAAAAAAACCGCTTTTATACTATAAGTTAACTAGAACTTAAAAAACTATAAGTAACTAACTAATAACTAATAACTTAAAAACTATAAGTTATTTCTATCTGTATAACAAAATCAGTGTTTTTAATTTTAAAATTAAATCTAAAATTATATGAATACAATTTAAAAAAAAAAATAATAATAAAATACATAAATAAATAAAAGATGAGGAAAAAAATAAATAGGGAATCTATCATGCATAAGAAAAATAAACACTTACATGTAGGTAAATAATGAAATAATGTCATAAATATGTTTTTAAATATATATATTATCTAATAAAATTCTCAAATATAAGATTTGCTATTTCTAGAAATAACATAATGGTAGCTTTTCTGTGGAAAAAGAATGCGCTTACGAAATTTAATTCAAATAATCAATGAGAAATAAAGAACTACTTTAATTCTTCAAATCCCACACTAGAACTTGTTTGCAAATTTTTATTAAAAATAAAAAATTTTAAAATTGGATATTTAACAAGATTATAAATTAAAAAGTGGCAAATAAAAGAATATTTGTTGTAGAGAAAAATTCGGTACTTATGTATTAACGATACCTTGGCGACAGTTGCGCCAATAAAGAGCACACGCGCCAACCACAGCTACAGATTTGGCGCCAATCTACACTTAAAATTTTTGTTCCAAATAATAAAATATATATGAAACACTTCATTTAAAATCAAAAAGCTTTCAAAATATTTTTTTTCCAAATAATAAAGATTGGCGACACTTAAAAACCGCCAAGGTACCGTTAATACGTAAGTACCAAAACTTCAGCAATCTTTAGCCTGGAAGTGGAAAAAATATACATGGAGGTAAAGATTTAACAAATGTAAAATATTAATAAAATTTGAAATTAATTAAAATTTATTGTAGAAACATTTAACGGTATATGTTTTTTTAACAAATTATTTAATACTAATTATTCTTCAAAAGAAACATAGATGGCGCCACAATGTACAAATTCTATCATTACTTTACAAACTTTCTGCCAACGGCCGTACCATGCTGAATATACCGGTTCTCGTTAGATCACCGAAGTCAAGCATCATTAGGCGCGGTCAGTACTTGGGTGGGTGACCACCTGGGAACACTGCGTGCCGTTGGCAAATTTGGGACCTGAATGGCCGAGTGTCTAGCGCTCTGGCGCTCGGTGCCACAGGTTTCGGGTTCGAATCCCGGCGGTGCCATGGATGTTTGTAGTGGTTCGGAATCCACTTTAAGCCGTAGGTCCCGGTCTTCTATGACTGTAAGAGCGTCACGGAGCAAAAGTCAGGCTTCTACCTACGGGTGCTCCATCACAACAGAAGCTGCTTCCTTCCCCTTCAATCATGAGTCCATATGGGCTCGTGGGCTTGGCCAGCCAAGTGGGATAAGAAACAACAACAACAACAACAAACTTTCTTCATCCCAAGATTAATTTAACTAATGATTAGCAGATGGCACCACTACTCTTCAATTCATTTACAAACAAATGGATTTTGTCATTGCATTTTCAGGGGTAGAAATTCAAAAAAAT